GTATGTATGTATGTATGTATGTATGTATGTATGTATGTATGTATGTATGTATGTATGTATGTATGTATGTATGTATGTATGTATGTCCCATAATTTTAGCTTTCCCATCAATTCAATTCAGTTAAATTTAGTTTATTGTATAGCGCCAAGTCACAATAAACATCGTCTCAGGGCACTGTACAAAAAAAAACCCTATTCTAATCTAGCCAGCAGATTGCATTGAATTACTTCATCACGGTCTCCCATCCTGAGCAGCACAATGGTAATGGTGGAGAAGAAAAACTCCCTTTAAACATGAAGAAACATCCAGCAGAACCAGAACCAGGCTCAGGACAGGCAGCCATCTGCCTCGACCGGCTGAGTTTTGTGGCAGGAAAGACACAGAGACAAACACAGAACTGATCCAGGTGTATTTTCCTCTGGAAGAGAGACAAACAAAACACGTTATTGATATAAGTAATTATAACAAACGTATAGAAGAGAGACTAAAGCTAACAGCAGCGTGAGGAAATGTGCTCAGTTTGTGCTCCAGCAGTCTAAGTCTATAGCAGCAGAAATGAAGAATAATTCAGGAAACCTAAGTCTTAATATAGGATTTACCAAAAAGGAAAGTTTTCAGTCTAATCTTAAAAGTAGACAGAGAGTCAGCTTCACAGACTGGAAGTTGGTTCCTCAAGAGAGGAGCTTGATAACTGAAAGCTCTGCCTCCCATTCTACTTTTAGAAACTCCAGGAACCACAAGTAAACCTGCAGTCCGAGAGCGAAGTGCTCTGTTAGGAAAGTGTGGAACAATAAGATGTTTAATATGATGGAGCTTGGTTGTTAGGAGCGTTGTATGTTAGGAGTAATATTTTAAAATCTATTCTGAATTTGACGGAGCCAGTGGAGAGAAGCTAAAACTGGAGAAATATGATCTCTCATTCCAACTCTCATTAAAACTCTAGCAGCAGCATTTTGGATTAACTGAAGACTTCTTAAAGAGTTTTTTGGATGCCCAGATAATAAAGAATTACAGTAGTCCAGTCTAGACAAATGCATGAATCAGTTTTTCCGCATCATTTTTGGACAAAATGTTTCTAATTTTAGTGATATTACGCAGGTGGAAGAAGGCGGTCCTGGTAACATTTTTTAATGTGGGGTTAAAAGACATATCCTGATCAAAAATAACACCAGGTTCCTTACATTAGAACTGGAGGCCAGATTAATGCCATCCAGAGGAAGTGAAAGGATGCAAAGTTTAGTCCTAAACTGTTCAGTTCCAAAAATCACAACATCTATCCATGTTTTTATGTCATTAAGACATGCTTATAGTTTAAGTAACTGGTTGGATTCATCAGATTTCATGGATAAATATAACTGAGTATCATCAGCTTAACAATGTAAATTTATCCCATGCTGTTTAACAACTTTACCTAATGGAAGCATATACAAAGTAAAGAGGATTTTTGGTCCAAGCACTGAACCCTGAGGAACTCCATGACTAATTCTGGTGTAAGAAGAAGATTCATTATTAACATTAACAAACTGAAATCTATCAGTTAAATAAGACTCAAACCATTTAAGAGCTCTTCCTGTAATCCCAATATCAAGTTCAAGTCTACGTAATAAAATATTGTGATCAGTTGTATCAAATGTAGCACTGAGATCTAACAGGACAAGAACTATGATGCCCCTCCCTCCTCTACGCATCATGGCAACCACTTTCACGATGACTGCTTTAACTAATCATCATTAGCCCACACAAAAATAACTTACTCAAAAAATAAAATAATAATAATAATTACAGATGACGTAAAGATCATGTGGTTACAGTTTCCCTTCTTTTTCCCCACAGGGAAGTCTCAGGCACCAGTGTTTGATGTCTTTGAGGCTTTCATCAACACAGACAACATCCAGGTTTTTGCTAACGCTGCCACTGACTACATCATGTGCCTCATGAAGTTTGTCAAAGGCTTGGGTTGGTCTCTCTCTCTTTCACACACACACACACACACACACACACACACACACACACACACACACACACACACACTGTAATACATTCACATGGCTGCCCTCATGGATTTGTTTTAGCTGGAATCAAACTCAGCTTTTGGATTTGCAGTCTGGCTTTACGTCACATCTTTAATATGAACACTGTTTCTTTTATTGGGCTTAACCTTTCCAAGTATTTTAGATTTGTTTGATGTTTAGATAGAACTGTTTAATTCGCTTCACATCTTTAACCTCACCCAGATATTTTCTGTACAACTTCTTGCTATATTTGCAACATTTATGTTGTTTAATTGTTCTCTGTGTGCTTGTTTGTTTGTGTGCAGGAGAAGTGGACTATAAAGAGATTGGAGACTGTGTTCATGTTTCTGGTCAGAGCTCCACTGACCTCTGTGTGCCCGCCCTCGACTACCTGCACAAATGTTCACAGGTTGGGTCACTGCCTTTGTTTTTTGGCTTTTTGTTAGTATTTATTTTCCTTAACAAATCCAGATGTTTCATTTTTTCAGCTGCTGGCAAAGATCTACAAGATGCCATCAAAGCCGGTGTTCCTGGGGGCCCGACTGGCCAGCCTGCCGATGAGATCACAGGAGCGCTCAGTCAGCAGCGAGGACGGGATAGACTGTGTCCTCCAGGAGTTTGATGACGACACGGGTAAACATGATGAAATGACCCTTTTTCCTGTGTTTTATGCTTTAGCTCCTACAGCTTTGTTTTGTGTTGTTGTATGCCATAGGTTTGATCCAGGTGTGGATTTTACTGTTGGAGCAGCTCACAGCTGCTGTATCAAACTGCCCCCGACAACACCAACCCCCCACCCTGGAGCTGCTCTTCACCCTGCTCAGAGAGGTCACCACTGTTCCAGGTGATGCTCTCTAACAACCAAAATTTTTATCTGTGAAACTTCGACCTAACCTGCAGGATAAATTAATTTTTGAAAACTGTTGTGTTTTTTTTCTTCCATATAATGAAGTCAAAGCTCTTTGTTATATTTTATCAAGCGTTTTCAGTCATGGGAAGAAGAAGGTCCACCTAATTTCAGATGTAGGGTTTTGCATATTAAGACTTATAATAAAACTGATTTGGTTTTTACCGAGCACTAAAATTATTTGAATCTAACCTCAAGTGTAATAAAAGCAACAAAAATTTCACAATTAGACAAAAAAAAAGGTAAAAAATAAAAAACTGTTAAGTGATGAACCAGCAGCTCATAGTAACTTCTTTAGCAATAACTTTTCAGAGTAGTGTTTTTTTTTTGTCTTTTTCAGTGTCACATGCTTGTAGAGCTGCAATACCTTGTTTGCTTTCTTTTTCAGTAATTCTGTTGTTGATTTTCTGATGGGTCTAGGATTATTTTTCTGTTGCATCATAATTCAGTTTGGTCCAAGCTTCAGCTGTCAGTCAGATGGTCTTACATTTTAACCCTAGAGTCCTTTAGTCCACAGAACATTTCAAGGTTAAGTCATGAACTATAAGGTGTCCCCAAATCATTAAATCTGCACCAATGTACTCGACAGTTGGTACACTGATGTTGATACGCTGTTATTAGTTTTATTTATGTGTGCTTATTTAAATTGTGCTATTTTCGTCCATCTGAAAAACATTTTGGGCCTCATGCAAGAACCGTTCGTATGCACAGATTTGTTCTTAAATTGTGCGTACGAGTGATTTAGGAGAATTTGTGGCATTCACCAATGTTTCGTATTCTAAGATTTTTTTCAGATACGAACAAAATTCACGTGTGGTCCAGACCTGTTGTATATTTTACGAGCAGTCAGTCTGCTGTTATCCAGATGGGGCAGCAGCAGAGAGACCCAGACTTCCCTCTCCCCAGTGACACTTTCCAGCTCATCCTGGGGGACTCCGAGACAGTGCGCAATGGTGCGGCTTCTGAATAAATGAAAAAGATTTAACACGGTTGTTTATACTTTTAAAAACTCCTTTTATTCCACAGCTGAGCTGCTAAAAATGACAGATTTTCTTTTCTGGATCTCTGACAGACGGACTTCAATCTCTGAACTCGTAAAGTTCTTCTTTTTAATTTTCGCTGTCATTTTTCATGAATGAATGAACACTTGTATCTGAGGCAGGAAACACAGCCTTATATGGTGTTTCTGTAATTATGCTAATCTTCTCTCGCG